ATCTACCAATCCGACACTTAGTCTGCACGACCACGACGGCTCCTCTCTGTTAGTGTTTATATTCCAAATCTCTTTCATGACTGCTTACGGTTGTCTATAATTCTTACAAATCATTGAGGAGAAGAGTGACATAATTAAGAAACTATTATATGATATCACATATAACATATAATATTTATTAAAATAAATTTATTTTTGTTTTATTAATTCTGCTCATATTATCAATTCTGCAATTCATTCATATTATTAATATCATTTATTTTTTTCCCAATGAATATGCTATATGTATGCAAGAATAGCGAGCGGTAACGAGAAGCATTGGAAACGCTCGAAATCGTACAGCACGAGGACGAGAGAGAACGGTAGTATCCTCTTTTCACAGCATGTCGAGCATGAGAGAGTATGACAGTATCTCTATTCTCCTCACGCTCGATGACGTTGCGAACGCGAGTATGTCTATTCTCCTCGCGCAGCGCTTCAAGCGTAAGAGAGTAGGATAGTATTCCTATTCTTCCGAAATAGTCAAACGCCAAGCGCACATGAATGTGGCTCGTGTTTTGTGTGCATGCTCGCGCTCTCTCCATTCCCGCCTCACCACCGAGGGTGCCGTTTCTGGCAGCCCTGCGTGGAGATTGGCTGGACGGCTAATGGACGTCCATGGTGGAATCCTAGAAGAGAAAACCGTCCACCATGGAGGTTGACCTTTAATGGACATCTATCTAACTTCCATCGTGGAGATAGACGTTCGATGGAAGTTTAATGGAGCTATGGAAGTTTAATAGATGTCCATTAGAGGCTATGTTCCATGTGGGTCTGCTTATCTTGATTTATAATAGAATAATTTAAACAATATTAGAATAATTTAAACAATATATTTAAAATATATCATATAAATCATAAATTTATCATCAATTTTTCAAAGTTATATAAAAAATAATAATAATTTAAAAAAGGAAAATTAATATATTAAAATGAATGAAAAAAATTCTTTTTAATAAAAAAATTAATGATATTTTTTTATTTGTAGAAAATGATTATATTAATGATTCCAAGAAAAATGATTGTTAGTTTTTTCAAGTTTCTTTGTTTTTCTTATGTTTTATGACAATATTACATAAACAGAAAGTCATATGTATTTCTTTTTCACAACAATGAATTTCTTTATTACAAAATCAAAATAATTAATTTTATGCATACCAAAAATATAAATTATATAAAAGAATTAAATTTTTCGATTTGCGGTTTAATAAATAGTTGTAAATGTTATTCAATGGTCAGTTTGCTCAAAATATCTTAAAATTTATCTTAAGAGAATAATTAAGAATAATTTATTATCAAAATAATTTATTATCTATTTTGTTTTATATAAATTTATTTTTGTATTTATTATTATTAATTTATATTGACATATCAATTATGTACTTATGTGATTAATATCTAAACTGTAAAGAAAAATTTTCATTTGCATTTTCATTTAAGTAATAATCGACAAATAATTTTTTTATGCGTTTTTTATGCGTTGCATAGATCAACGACCCAAAATTTAAGTATAAAATAGTTTAAAATAGATTGTAAGTATAATATCATAACATAGAATCATAAATCATGATACAAAATAAATTCTTTACTATCCATCTTGTATTTTTAATAAGCATTGAGAAAATAATTTCATGGAATGAAGATTGCAAAACAAAAAATTCAAGAATTAGATTTAGAAACAATGTGTTACCTGTAAATAAAGAATAATATTATCAAGTGGAAATCAAATATTTTTACAATTAGACTGAAGATTTTATTTACATATTTTAAAACAATATATAATGATAATGATAATAATAATAATAATAATAATAATAATAATAATAATAATAATAATGCCATTGTACATTTCCGTAAATCGCCTTTTTAAATACATATTAGAGTACAAATAACGACAACTACAGAAATATAACTTGTACCTGTACAGTTATTATTATGTATTCCTTAATGATAAATTAATACATACTACTTTTGTTTAAATTTATAACAGCGACTAAAATAATGTGTTATTCTTCTAATAAAAAAAAATGCAATATAACAATTATGCAATAGATATATGAAAATTTTGAGATTTTAAGAACTAAATTGTAACTTATTTCAAAATTTATTACATCTAATTAACATTAAACTATTATTAAAAATTTCTTTTCATGACGCTCCTTTATTTAAAAATTACATCAAATTTTAAATAAAAGAGAATATATTAATTGAAGAGATTATACACAAGCAAGTATCATATGCTTGAAAAGAAAACTGTGTACGAAAATTCAAATTCATATAAGTATCATAACATAATCTTTTTTCGATAAATATTAATGTAAGAAGACTATAACTTTTGAAGAAAGGCACAAATCATAGCCATTCTATTGCTCATACCAAATAGTTTTATATTTCTAAAGAATTTAACTCTTTTCTTAATATTTTCTATGTTGCACAAATCAAGCTGATGCATAGTTAACGTTTTGTGAAAATTGTCAATGATCCGTTGCTAATTTCTTAGGGTGGCGTTCTTGCGCACGTTTAAGCCGCTGTAATAAAAGATTATGCAGTTGATCAACTTCTTTAGGTGCTGCTTGTACAATAAAAATTCGAATATCTCCATGAACATCCATAGCAGTTAGTCTTAACGACTTAGGTCCAGCACGTTCCGCAGTCATACCCGACCATACTTTCGTATTCAGAATCAATCTTTGAGTTCCGGCAGTACGACCAACTAAGCGCGATTCTTCATCTCGATCATTAAGTCTCAACGTACCTCTTCCCCTTTCTTGCCAACTGCTATTAGTCTATGATACATAATAAATTATATGTGAAACCAATACTAATATCATTTAATTCATATTTTTCCATATTCACATTTTCTATAGATCATATATTTATAAATTTATATTAAATATATTAAATAGTTATTTTTAGAGCTTATTATACACACCTTATCAAAAGCAAACAATTTGCAATTGATTTGAAGAATATTTGTTTCTCCTTCTTCACCAGTCAACAGTGTTACTTGATTATATTTTCTCTTATTTGCACGATTAGCTTCTTCTAATACCTGTGCTGCTTGAGTTAATGTCAAACCTGGTCTCACTGTAGTACGACAATTTGAAGCTGCATTTGAGAATAGAAGTTCAGAAGATCCATTCTCATTGCTTTCTTCACTTGTTTTATCTTTCTCAGAATTATTCAAACCTTCTGTATCACTAGAGACAGTGACACGTTCCTTTAAATTTTGACCAAACACAAAGCTAGGAGTAGATGCACTGGGTGTTACAGTATTATTTATATTATTCTCGTTTTCTTTGGTGCTCGTACCCAAAGGCAAAAATTTTAATTTTATATCTTCTACTGGTTTTTCCTCAATTTTAGACTCTTTACTTGTTTCAGTTTTATTGCTTTTTGTTACAGATTCTTCATCCACAGAATTATCAGTAACCTTTGTGAAAGGATTATGAAATTTTGCAGGTTGTAAAACAATTTTATCAGTACTATCTGTAGAATTATTGGTTATCATATTTAATTGAGATGGCCTTAATATAGATGACTTTGATTTGCTAGTTACAGGATTTAAAAATTCATTACTACCAAATAAATTTCCCAACTTTGAAACAGCTATTGAGGAACCTGCAAATATACAGTAGATATATATGTATATATGGTATGTGTGTATATGTATGTGTATATATATATATATAATATATGTATATATGATACATTGTACATGACTATACATATATACACACATATATCTACATAATATATGTATGTGTGTGTGTGTGTGTGTGTGTGTGTGTGTATATATACATATATGTAAATGTTTTTTCATAAATCATTAAATCACATAAGCTCACAATACTTATTAGAAGATTTAATAGTTGCCAATGTTGATTCTTGGTTATTTAATTCCACTGCATGATTTTTCGTTTCATCTGTAAAATTTTTGAAGTTTAGCACATTATTTTATAATTGTTTTATTAATAACATAGGTTATATTATGATTATTCATAATCCTTCCATATATTTCCCAGTACTACAAGTTACGTTAATATTTTAAAATAACCATAGACATGTTTATCTTGTTTAGTTGATACAATCGAATTGCTAATAGTTGAATCTTCAGTAGAATCTTCTGGCAACTCCTCGGGTGGATCGACTTTTAGAACAAGTGGTGGATGTTCAATATTGTCTGCACATTCTAAAGTAAAATAAGAACAATTAATGATTAAAATCATTATCATAAGCGGTTAGCCTATCAGCCTACAATGTATGATTAGAAAATCACCAAAAAACATTACATATTTTTAATATTTATCATATTACGCTAACATCATGTGATACAAAAAATACTTCTATTATTTAACAGATATTATTTCACTTTCACATACATATAAATTGAATCTAAAGAGACAAAACGCACCCTTACAATCCGCCATTTTTTACGTTGAATACAGATAAATAATGTCAGCGTCACTGATCAGCGTTCAAAAACACAACGGTTGTGCAACTGTTAAATATAGTTGAATAAACTCGAGTTCCTCGAGCTGCTTTCCCATGCAGCGTAAGTCCCAGGCTGCGTTCCGATATTCACTATTCAGTACTGAAAATCTATAATATACGTGACCTGAACTATATATTTTCAGTACTGGTAGTGAATATCGGAACGCAGCCTCGATCTACAATAAGTTTAAGTCTTAAGCCATAAAAAATTGACTAATCATAGTCATAAACATTTATATTTATATATTAGACCGCTAACTTGCCTCAAAGGCCTGTTTTACAATGCGTTGCATGTAGGTGTCGCAAGCATAGACATTTATCTTATTTATATACTAAATAAAAACTACTAATTTGCCTCAAATACATGACCCCGAAAAGCATGTACAAAAATACATGCGTATGAAGTAAGGGAAACACGCATGTGCACGAAAGTCCCATATATGCTATATATACCGACACACGAATTTTATATATATTTGAATAACAAATATGTAATGTTTTTTATTCTTTTTGATAATTGTTTTATTCATTTCTTGAAAAAAAATTTCTTT